TTTGTTAATTATGTGTATTAGTTAGAATTATCATTTGATATAATATTTCACATATGCAACTACTATAAGAACTATTTTGAAAATAATAGTTAAATATGAGCGATAAAATGAATTAGAATCTTATATTTAAGATCAAATTGAAAGTTAAACTAGCCCTTATATATTAAGGACCAGAGGTAGTACTACCTCCAATAATTTGAACATATTAAGAAAGTTTGTTTAGTTATTTGTAATAAATAAGTGTTATCTTCTCTAAAATATTCATGTTAATCATATGTATTAGCTAGAATTACTATTTGATAGAAACTTTAACATGCGTAACTATTGTAAGGACTACTTTGAAAAAAAATCAATAAATACGAGAAATAAAAGGGATTGGAAATTTATATTAAGAACCAAATTAAATGTCAAGTTGGCTCTTAAATTATGATCGGATATAGTAGTTGATTTAGAGTTGTTGATAAAGTCAGCACCCCACCTCTGCTTTTAATTAGTTTAAAGAATCTTTAGAAATAGGCTATTATAATTAGGGGTATTCAACTTGTCTCGTCCTAATTTCGGCTGATTGGGGACGGGATGAGACAAAAAAAAATTTCGGGATGGGACAACTACAGGATGTGAGATGAGGTCACCCCACTCCAATTTTTTTGTTTAAATAAAAATTATTTATTAATAATTATTATTAGATTATTCAATTTTTTTAAGAATAATTATTTTTATAGTGATTTTCAACTCTTAAGATGCAATATTATCTCAATAAAAATTTTTTCTCTATAAAATAATTCATAAAAATATTATATGGTTTTTCATGGTAATTTTTTTACAGTATTATTTTTTTTTGCACATTTTGTATATTATATAATTGAAGTCTCTACATGATATTTTTTTAGTGTTTTTATCTTCAGAAACTCAATAAAAAATATTATAATACAAATAAAGATCCAGACCCAAATTATATTGGTTTGTAAAAAAAAATTTGAAGTCTAGAATTTCTGTCCTGTATCTCATCTTATCCTCTGAGTAGGCCTAATTATATTTTTTTTAAAAAACCCCTCATGAATCCAATAAAACTCAAAGAGAAAGAGGAGGAGATCTTTGCCCAAAAAAAAAATTCGTTACTAGACAGAGCCAACGATGTCATGTCATTATTAAGAGTCAAGGATCAAGCTAGTTGTTCTGGTCAAAAAATCTTCTTTTAAAATATATATATTTATATGTTTTTAATCTTCTTTTTCTGCTAATTCGATTAGGTGCACAGTATACCCAATCAAATGGCCGGAAGTTTTATAATTTTTTAGTTTTTGAAATCTTGGACTATGGGTTCACCTAACAGGCATTTGTCGTGTCTATGACTTTGATTTGCACGCGGTGGTATTAGACACTTGTGGCCCATGAAATAGAATATTAGTATATTACATTACTAATTCAAAGTGTTCCTACAAGGGAAGAATCCTCGACAATTTCGTGGCGGATAATAATACTACGTTCGATATTTAGTATAGGAATTAATTTAATATTTAATTTGGTTTTAAATATAAAATTTTAATTTATTTTGTTTATTATATTTATCTAATTTTTTTAAAAATAGTTCTTGTACTAGTTGTATATATTAAAAGTTCTATCAAATGATAGTTTTAACTAATACACATGATTAGTAAGAATACTTTAAAAAAGATACAGCATAAACTACCTCCAATCCTTAATATAAAAATTAGTTTGAATTTTAATTTGTTTTTAAATATAAGACTATAATCTACTCTGTCTATCATATTTATCCATTTTTTCTAAAATAGTCTTTGTAGTAGTTGTACATATTAAATATTCCATCAAATGATATTTCTTCCTAATACATATGATTAGTAAGGGTATTTTAGGGAAGGTAAAACATATTTATTATAAATAACTAACTTAATCAACTTTCTTAATCTAATCAAATTAATAAAATAGCTCTTATATTAAAGATTGAAAGTAGTATTTATTATAAATAACTAATTTAATAAAATTTTTTAATCTACTCAAATTAATCAACAAGTTTTTATATGAAAAACTTTCTTGTTCTATTTAAATTAATTAATAATTATTTATATGAAAGATTGAGCGTCGGTAGTAATTATTATTGTGGTGTATCGTCCATCTCTCTCTTCCCCCCCACGCATTCTAAGATGTGCTTTTCAGCTTTTAAAAAGATATGTCTCATAGCGCTTTCAGTGCAATTTGCTGTACATACTAAATTTTATGTTACGTAATGGGTAGTAGTTGATATTATCTCGGATTTTTAATAAAAAAGTTGGAGGATTAAATTTAATCATAAATATAAAATTTTAATTAATTTTACTTTTTAAATTTATAAAATTTTCCCAAAATTCTTGTTAATTGTAATGAATTCTCACAATAGGTAATTTCAATACACATGATTAAAAAATAATTAGAAATGTTAACATATATTTATTATAAATATCCAACCAAATTAATTTTCTTAAAGATAGGAAGTAATAGTTTTAAGAAATAATAGTATTAAATATTTTTGTCATATATGCTCATATTTAATATTGGTTTTATCTACTCATACCGACTTGAATTTGAAACCTTACACTTAAGTGGTGACCAAATGTTTGTTAGTAAATTTAATACTTTCTTATCTTTATTGATATATCTGAATTAATCATAAATTACTCCCTCCAGTCCTAAATATAAGACCTATTTTGTAGTGTAGTCTTATATTTAGAGTCGGAGGAGTACTTATATTTAACACCAACTGAAATATTGAATTTGAAAAAGGAACCAATTATTTTTATATATGGCTTGTGAAAACATGTTTATAACGATTAGGTTATTCATGATCAAGTTTTTTGTTGAAGAAAATCATTCATAAATAAGTTATCATTATTGTTATTTATCTTCCATATTTTCTGTAACGTGTTAGAAAATATGTTTCGATATAATTCAAGAATAAAAAAATAATTAAAATTGTTTCTAAAGAATATCATAATTAATTTTTGAATTTTGTATTATTATCAAATTGGTTTCCTACGTATGAATTCTCCCGCTGCTTCACACATGACGCTTTTCTCTCCGGGGCACAATACAGCTTACTTCCAAAATCAGTGAAACTTTCACACATCATGTTCACATTTTTGCTGTTTTCTTAATCCACGAGTAACACAAGCATCCTCTGATAATAATTAATAAATAAGTCAATTATATATTACTGCCTTTTATTATAAAGATATAAAAACTTCTGTAGAAAATATTGGTGTCATAATTTTGTTTAATTATTTCGACCTTTCCCTGACTGAAATGATGGTAATTCGACCTTGTTAGTGGTCCAGCATCTCCTGCATAAACATCAGTGGTACGTTTCATATGCCACTTGGGATTGTGTTTTGTCAAACTGGAACTAACTTGGCAACTTGACAAATCAAACAAACAATTCTGGTAAGAATAATTGTGGGTGCATACTTCAGGCATAAAATTACATCATAAATAATCTCAAGACATTAGGTGCCCCGGAAAAATGTTGAGATATTGGGTATATCTTAATTCAATATTCTATCAATGTCTCTTATTTCGTCAATATCATCTCTAAAAAAATTGTTTTAAATATAGCAGTAGAGGGAGTATTTGTTTATCTACTTCTTATTGTTGGTTAGGAAATTGAGATTAAAATGTGATTATCCTTTTTATTAGGGATGAAAATGTCATTTTACGAAGGGGGCAGTGCTCAACTCCCAAGGTCAAGTCAATTATTGGTTGGTGGACGTCAATCCGTTGCGCATTATAGAGCATCCTGGAAATTCACTGACGATTTCTCAGCAGCTTCTGAAGATAATTACTTTAAAGAGCTCAGCCCCACCCCCTATACTGCACTTAAAAGAAAATAATTGTTGATGTTGATGTCATCGCTTATCTCCACTTGTTCTTGGTCTACTTTAATTATCATAACCTCAAATGTAGAAAATATAACTAAAATTGTAAAAATCAACATCAATGGTTGTTATATCAGTTATATCAATATAAATTTTTTAAAAAAAATTAATGATTTAATCTATTGTTTTAACTAAAATAAAATATGTAAGTTTTATTGATATGTTGTCGAAAGCTTCTTTTCTTTTTTGAAAACATAATTGTCTCCATAAATTTTCACGAGTTGATATATGTGGTCCTGAGTAATCACTTTGCATGGAGTTGAGCCGTGTCAAAATAAAAAATAGTAGTCTTATAAGAAAAACATAATAGTTCTTTTACCAATTAAAAGAGGCTTATCAGGTCGTACTAATTTATTAAATTTAATAATTATAGTGATTTTTGATGTGGAAAAATTATTAGTCTTGAGATTTTTTCAGTCCTTATTTTCAAAAGGGGGCCATTGATATTAATTGATTCACATATTCTCCTGCAAACTCTGATATATTTGGTAAAAGGGAAGTGAAAGAGAGGAGGGGGGAGGAAAAATTTTAATGAACACGATTTAAAAAACTTAAGAAGTAATTTTTCTTCCTTTTCACTTCCCTCATACTAAACGTATCGTAGTTATCATTATTTGAAAAAATATTATAAGATTCATAAATTATAATTTAATTTAGACTTACTATAAATAACTTTGAATGACAAAAAAGACTTATTGTAAACATTATATATTTTATTTTAAATTAATAATTTCGGTCCATGTGAGATCTTTCTACTTATGTCTAATTATAATTATAACATACTACTTTTGGTCCTTAATATAAAAGTTAGCCAACTAATTTAAATAGATTAAGAAAATTATTAGTTAAGTTAATTATTTGTAATAAATAGGTGTTATCTTCTCTAAAATACCTTTGCTAATCATATATATTAACTACAACTACGTACCATGTAATAAAACTTTTAACATTTGTAACTACTACAAATACTACGTTAAAAAAAAAAGATAAATATGAGAAACAAAATTAATTGGAATCTTATATTTAAAATAAAATTAAAAATTAAACTAGTTCTTATATTAAGTATTGGAACTATTAATATAATATAAAAGCATTAGGTGAGTACCACACACAATGAATCTGCTCTATAAAGATGCATGGGCCACTACGCTCCCTGCAACCAACCAACCAACCTTCTCAGCTTTATATCCATATTTCATTATGGCCTCTCAAGCCTTATCATTCACAGTTCGTCGTTGCCAGCCGGAGCTAATTGCTCCGGCGAAGGCGACGCCCCGTGAAGTGAAGCTTTTATCAGACATCGACGACCAAGAGGGTCTTCGGTTCCAAATTCCAGTGATTCAGTTCTATCGTTATAATGCTTCCATGAGAGGAAAAGATCCCGTTAAGGTGATCAGAAAAGGTTTGGCTGAGACTCTGGTGTTCTTCTATCCCTTCGCCGGCCGTCTGCTGGAAGGGCCAAACCGGAAACTTATGGTGGATTGCAATGGTGACGGCGTCCTTTTCATCGAAGCAGATGCTGATATCACTCTGGAGGCATTTGGTGATGCTCTTCAGCCTCCTTTCCCTTGCTTGGAAGAGCTTCTATATGATGTTCCTGGCACTTCACCCGTTCTTAATACTCCACTTCTTCTTATTCAGGTATTTTTATTTTTATCTTTTCTTATTTTTATTATATAATCATTACAATGCATGGGACCTGAAATATCATTATAATTAAGGAAAAAAATAATCTCAAAATATACTGCTTGACGAATACGAAGATCGATCTGGCCTGGTGCTCGATCGATCGGTTCATTACTTATTAATAAATTTCAACGTGTACTCGCTTCTCTCCTCATGTTGTTTTTATCTTTTCAATTATTTGTTTAAATTTGTTTTAAGACATCAGAACAAGAACTATTCATCATGTGATGTTATCTATGATTTTTGTGGTGGTTCTTTTCAAGTGCAAATATTAGTCTGCTGACCAAAAAAGTTACTATTATTATTAAGTAGTACTTTTACTTTTATTAGTTCTTAATATAACAGTTAGTTAGAAGTTAAATTTGGTTTTAAATAAAATATCTCAATTATTTTTGTCTTTTAGATTTATAAATTTATCCTAAAATATTCTTATTAATTATATGGTGATGCAATGATTTAGAGAAGTCAACACAAATTTATTACATATAACCACTAATTTAGTTATTTTTTAATTTTTTTTAAATTAGTTATCTAATTTTTACATTTAGGATCAATGTATTATTATGTTATCAGCGTTATTTTTTTATACTGGAAAAGAATGTTATCATTATTCTTGTTTTTTTTCCCCCAAATTTCATTCATTCCATCTGCTCTAAGGAAATTAAAGGGGTGTTTGGATGAGTGTAAAAATGCTTTTCAAAAGCACTTTTTCACAAATTAAAACAAATTCCTCCACATATTTACTTCATATACTATAAAAATATTTTTAAAATCATAATTTTATTTTCACCCAAACACCTTCTAAGTGACCCTATGAGCACCTTGATTGCTATAGGTTCTGTCTCTGTCATAACAGTTTTTTATTTTTCGCATTTCACATCATTATGAATTATTTGACCAAAGATGATGTTTTAGGAAGAATGACAGTTAAATTTTAAAAAAATAATTTAATAATATTTTTATCACATAATAATTTTTAATTAAAAATTGTGGAGTAATAATTACAAATTATACTGTATAAAATTATAAATATGGAAATATTAATTGCTAATAACTTCTTTGAGATCTAACTACTATTCTCCTTTTTTTCCTTTGGTTTTTTAATTGACACTATGAACAATGATAAGCACACAGTGTATGTTATAATTATTATTTTTATATATTATTTCATTATTTTTTAGAAAAGGTAATTATAAAAATTATTTTTATTTATATATTTTGTTCATTACATGGGCTTCAGTAACCGGCTGCTTCGTCCTTGCTTCCTATTATTGGTGCTGTCCCCATCAACAACAGTTAGTCTATTCTCTGGGTTCACATCATTGTTAATTATTGACTTAAAATGTGTGGTTTTATGCATGTCTACACAGATATTGAGTTGATGATATTAGGACGCACGCGCATTATTCATTCAATATTTTTCCCTCAATTCTAGCTATAATATTTAGTTGAAATATTTATTTTGTTCTAAATATAATATTTCAATTTTCTTTTTCTCTTCATTCAATATTTTTTGTACTAAGTTATCCTTAATAATTTCAAGTTTTTATCACTTTTTTTCTCTCACATTTAACACGCTCTCTCTTTTTGAGTTTTTTTTTTCCCGGGAAAGTTATAAGTATTTTTCAAACAACAATGACAAACCATTAATTTAACATCTTTTTCAATATTTATAAATTATTTATTTAGATTTTAATACTGGAAAAGCAACGTTTAAAAATTTAAGCTCTCCACAAAATTCAAAACAGTGATTGTTCCAATAGAGAAAGTCATGAATTTAGTATGCATTGTCCCACTTTTTTATTTTAAATAAGTCTTAACAACTTTCTCAAAATTGTTTAGGTGACACGTCTGAAATGCGGTGGTTATATTTTCGCCTTACGCCTTAATCACACAATGAGTGATGCTGCTGGTCTCGTTCAATTCATGAGCGCGTTAGGTGAAGTAGCTCGTGGTGCGCATGAGCCATCAATTCCGCCCGTTTGGAACAGGGAGCTTCTAAATGCAAGAGAACCACCACGCGTGACATGCACCCATCGTGAATACGATGAAGTCCCTGATACAAAAGGAACCATCATCCCCTTAGATGACATGGTCCATCGTTCTTTCTTCTTTGGGCCCAACGAAGTTGCTTCGATTCGCACTCAAATTCCCTACCACCTTCGTCAATCTTCTGATTTTGAAATAATCACGGCGTTCTTATGGCGTTGCCGTACAATGGCTTTGCAACCTGATGATGATGAAGAAGTTCGCATAATATGTATTGTTAATGCTCGTGCCAAATTTAACCCTCCATTGCCGGCAGGTTATTATGGCAATGCCTTCGCCTTTCCGGTGGCCGTGACCACTGCTAGAAAACTATGTCAGAACCCACTCGGATATGCTTTAGAGTTGGTGAAGAAAGCCAAAGGTGATGTGACTAAGGAATATATGCACTCTTTGGCAGATTTAATGGTGATCAAGGGGCGACCTCATTTCACGGTGGTGAGGTCATACTTGGTTTCAGATGTGACACGAGCGGGATTTGGTGATGTGGATTTTGGGTGGGGGAAGGCGGTGTATGGCGGTCCGGCAAAAGGAGGAGTGGGAGCCATTCCTGGGGTGGCAAGCTTTTATATACCATTTAAGAATGCTCATGGACAAGAAGGTCTAGTGATACCAGTTTGTTTACCTGGGGAAGCCATGAAGAGATTTGTAAAGGAGTTAGATAGCTTGCTCAAGAATTACTCTCAAAATCCGAGGCTATTTGTCACTTCTTCCTTATAATTGGATTTTCTATAATATGTGTCAAAGCTAGCTACTGGAGTTTTGGGAGTTGAGTCATCACATGGCTTAAGTGAAAACTCAACTATGTACAATATGAGATACGTGTGATGAGTATCTCCCTTTAATTAATTAGCACTCTAATTTCTTTTGGTAGTTTTGTGTGTGGTGCTTAAGTAAATGTTTGAATTGCTTGTAAGAGTTTAGTTACTAAAATAGGGGGAAACATTTGTAAGAAGTGGTAATATATGTATTGAAAATGAGGACATTTAATATTCCATGTCATATTGTCTAGGACATCAGGCCTACTTAGAGTTATTTGAATTGAGATTTATCCTAATTAAAATATAAATAAAATAAAAAATGTAATTTTTACTTGATATTGTATTTATTACGAAATTGTTAAGTTAGAGGGAAGAAAGGAATATTTCTTGGCATTGGAATGTGCCAAGGGAAATTTTTCTAAAATATGAGAAATTGCACTTTTCTAATATATCACGACTCTAGAAATGTAAATAGGAGACACCTCACTTAGTTTTTACTCACCCCTTTGTACCACCTTGGCTTAGGCCCTAGTATTTTAAATCTTGCATGAGCCTATACTACTCAACATCTAGAGCTTCAGTGATCTAACCTAGATTCGAACTCAACTCATGTTCTCTAGGACAATTACACACAAGTTTCAAGAAGTAGAATTTATTCATCTAAGGTCCCAAGAAATATCAAAATTAATAATAGGTCCCAAGGGACCTTAGAGTGTCATATTGTAATTGTAAAATTAAATCACTATTCCTCCTAATCTAAGGTTTCCAATTCACAATTTTCTTTGCCAATGTGATTGACAACCTCAACGGCGAGTATTAACAACCCAATGGGAAGCTGTTGACAACCTAGGCAGTATCCCATTAATTCAAAGTTCAAATACTCTCTCTCTCCTCAACCTGTGTTCAAATTGCTCCCTCTCCCACCTTTAATGTCTCTCATACTCGTCGTCTCTCTATTTGAAGTTACTTCCCAGTGTCATCTCTCCCTTCGTAGTCACTTCCTATGGTACAATCACTCTCCTATTGCGTCGTCTCTCCCTCTTGCAATCGGTTCACCATCCACTGTCTCCCCCTATCACAGTGGGCCTCTCGATGTCCCTCTTTGTCCCAAATTGTGTGTTGCTGTCTTGCTATCTCCCTCACCTTTATCGTGCATTGGCATTGTCACTCAGTTGGCCTAAAATCTCTCCCCTACCCTAACCGCATCATTGAGTAGAAAGCGTTGGGTCTTCAGCGGCATCTTCATTGACAACCTCAACAGCGAGTATTAACAACCCAAGAGGAAGTTGTTGACAACTTAGGCAATGTCGGCTGACAACTAGTTTTATAGGATAACACAACCTCCATATAACACCAAATCATAACCAAATAATATAATATAACAACTTTGACACTGAAATGGGAAGCTTTTTGAAGGCATTGATAACTTTAACTAAACCCAATAGGATTATACTAGAATTTTAATGCGGAGATCTATTGATAACTTCAACGGCAAGTATTAACAACCCAAGGGGAAGCTGTTGACAACCTAGACAGTTTTTACTGATAACTGACTTTATAGGATAACACAACCTATGTTAGATTTAAGGTTTTGATGATAACAATTTGAGCAAAATCTGGTTTAGTAAGATTGATCAGTGATCGATCAAAGCTTTATCGATCACATGACAGATAAAATTCCTGTGTAAACAAGTCACTTAGCAAAAATGTTAATCGATGACTTGATAGATAATTCAAATTGTATGTGTTGATCCATCAATTGATCGATCATTGTTAACACTGTTTTGTATAAAAGTCTGCAGAAAATTATCAATCCAATGATCGATAATCTAATGATCGAACAACTAACAGATAATGGGACACAATTTTGGTAAGTGCTTATCAATCACATGATCGATAAATAAGTCACCGATGAGAAGACAGATAAATGGTAAAGCTCTCTACTCACGCTGTATTTTGTTTTAATCACCATTTACTGATCACTTTTTCGATCACAACTTTATCGATAACTTGTTCTGTCATTGCATAATAACTTACCTGTTTATTGATATTTTTCTTAATGTTTAAGTGTTTTGACAAGCTCTTTATTGATCACTTGATCGATTAGTGGTTTATCGATCAAATGATCGATCATCACCTTTTCACTGGTTTAAACTGTTTGAGTCTTTCTTTGATCACTTGATCAATCATTGATTTATCGATAAAATGATCGATCATCCAATCTTCTAAATATTCTGTTTTCACATAACGTGATTAATCAAACATTTTCCTGGCATCTCAAAAACTAAGTCTCTCGACTATATTTTTATCGATCACTTGATTGATCAATCCTTAATTGATCACTTGCTCGATCATCATATGTTTTGTGCCATTTGTGAAAATCTTTGTTAAACCTTTTTATCGATCAAATTTTCTATCATCCATTTATCAATAAAGTATTCAATCGATGTTCTTTGAAAATCAACTTCTGTTCTGCTTAGCTTTATCGATAACTTGATTGATCAAACATTTTTCAATCACTTATTCGATCAATGATCTAGTTCTTTCAATAACAAGAAGCTTTGGTGAGATTTAAAAACTTCTAAATAATTTCTCTTCGAGCTTTTCTCAGCCTTCCTGTTTATCTTAATTCTCTATTTTAAGGGATTTAAAATCACAAGTGACCTTGAACCTTTTCTCTACATAATCTTTCTGAAGTCACTCTTATTCATTTATTGATCACTTGATAGATCATTAGTTAATCCATAAATTGATCGATAACTATAGTTATCTATTTCAAAATCTTTCACGTTGATTAATCAATAACTTGATTGGTAAACTAGTTATCAATCATGACTTTGATCAAGGATGTCCAACTCATAGTTAATGCATTTGATGATTGATTGATTCCCTTTCTAACTGCCACATGAATGTTCATTATTATCACTTGATCAATTATTTTCATGAGTTTCATTCTGAAAGAAAAACTTATTAGATTGAAGTATTGTTACAGAATATGAAGCAAGCTCAACAGTTATTCAATGGTTATTTAGTAGCCTGTAACCTACCATGTGAGAAGCATTAATGGCGAATACTGTTGCAACTGGGAAAACATGCAACCGAACTCCCAACGGCTAGAAGCTCTTTGATCTAATGGTTATTTACTATTGCATTCAATACTCTATTCTTTACCAAGCTTCAGTGTTTCATATTCATTTACTCTGTAAGAGAGACTGAGACACCTCCTTTACTTACTTTATAAGAGTAACTCAAGAGTGTGGACTCTTGAGAGGGATTGTAACCTTACGGGTAGTAAAGGGGAGTGATTGAAAAAATCAATTGTTGTACTAAGGCACCAAGAGCTCGTTTAATCTTAGATTATAGTGGAAATCTCAGAGGTGTTCTAAGGACTGGATGTAGGTCAAGTGGTTAAGATCGAACCAGTATAAAATCCGGTGTCTTTGATCTACGGTGAAATCTCTTTAACTCAAAGCTCTCTGTTTTTATTATTTTCACTGTTTCAATTCAGCTAAATTTTTATAATTCACCCAATTCACCCCCCTCTTGACTGTCACTAACATTTGGTATCAGAGCAGATCTGTTCAGCAAAGACTTAATAGTCTGAAAAGAGATTCATTTCAGGTTTCGGAGACAGTGTGCTACCCAAAGGATGTTCAACATCAAAGCCACCTGGCTTCAATGGAGAAAACTATGCCTTCTAGAAGATGAGGATGAAGATCTTCATCAAAGCTACTGAGTATGGTTTATGGGACATGATCAAACACGACAACTACATTCCAATGAAAATTGAAGACGGTCAACAAGTTCAAAAGAGTCCGAGGGAGTTCGATGAAGAAGACAAGAGGCTAGTGACATTAAATGATAAAGCTATCAACATACTGACCTGTGCACTTAGCCAAAAAGAGTATTTTTGAGTTTCTAGTTTGGAAACTGCAAAAGAAATGTGGGAAGCACTGGAGATTGCTCACAACAGAATAACCGGCGTAAAATAGAGCAGAACCAACACGCTCACCATGGAGTTAGAATTTTTAAGAATGAAGGATAGAGAAAGCATCCGAGACATGGCAGTCAGATTTTCACACCTCATCAATCATCTCACTGCACTCAGAAAGAAGTATAGTCAAGAGGATCAGGTGAGGAAAATCTTAAGCGGTCTCATGAAAGAATGGAAGCCGAAAGTAACAGCCATGGAGGAATCAAAGGGAGAATCAATTGGCTCTGTCGCAGCTCTGTTTGAGAGTCTAGCGGAGTACGAGAGCAAACAGAAATACAAAAACGAAATAAACAAGAAGAATCACAAAGGCATTGCTCTCAAAACTCAAGAGAGTGAAGATGACGACGAAGAGGACCTAGAAGATGATGAAATGGTTCTTATAGTCAAAAGGTTCAAGAAATTCTACAGAAACAAAGCCGGATGGAGGTTTCAATCAAAATGCAAAACCTCCACATCTCAAAATGAGCCAAAGGATCCAATCATCTGCTTCGAATGCAAAAAGCTGGGACACATCAAAGCAGAGTGTCCTTAGCTGTCCAAGATAAAAGACAAAGAAAAGAAGAAAGAGAAGTTTAGAAAGAAGAAGGCCTTTGTCATGTCAATCTGGGGAGATAGTTCCTTAAACGAAGATGAGAGCGACAATAAAGAAATAGCCAATATCTGTCTTGTGGCTTAGGAAGAGGAAGATTCAAAGATAGATGAGGTAATCACTTCTGAACCCTCCTATGACGAATTACAATCTGAATACAATATATTACATTTAGAATTAGTAAGAATTGCAAAGGAGTTGGTAAGCTCCAAGAAAAAAATAAAGCTTCTGGAGGAACAACAAGTGAAGCAAAAAGATAGCACAACTCTACCTCCAGTATGTACAGAATGTGAGCAAAACAAAAGGAAAGCCGAGGACCTCACAAGAACCTTGGAAAAATTCACTAAGGGCAGTGAAATGCTCAAAATAATTCTGGGAGCCCAACGATGCTCGATGGACAAAACCGGAATAGGATATGATCTTACTCAAGATAAGAGGAAAGGAAAGAAGAAGAATGGTGGTCAGTCGTATCTTACCTTTTTTAGAAATGCTGTTCATTCTTCTAATCCTTTTGCATTATGTACCTATTGCAACTGTAAAGGTCACACAACTTCTTCTTGTCATCATAAGAAGAAAGGAACCTACATGACATTAAAATGGGTGCCTAAAGGTACTTATGTGCCTAGGACAATCCATACTAACGAAAAAAGACCCAAGAAGGTACGGGTAC